TGGAGAAGAACATCATGCTTGGTGAAGTTGAGGGTCAGTGAAAAAGAAGATTCTTAATGAGATTGATTGACATAAAGGCTGCAATATTGAGCTCAAACACAGGAGTCACTGTGAGAACGGCATAAGAGTAGATAGTGTTCTGTTGTCTTACACATAGGATCGTTGTTAGGCAGAGCTAAGTTGACACCTAACAAAAGCAAAAATATAAGCTTTGGAGCCAAATAATTTATACTTCGTAAAGTATTAATTTTCTGAGGCTGTAAATCTTTATGGGAGCAGAAAACCTCATCTTTCTCCCATGGAACAGCTGGTCATTTCAAACTGCTGACCTTGCCATTCACAACCCGATTCATAAAGTCGTTTACACAGCAAGGTCAGTGGTTCAAGCTCACCAGTAGCCCCTTGGAAATCCTATACAGCGTCGTTATGGGTTGAATCGACTCAATGGCACTTAACAACAACAACAACAACAACAAAGTACTAATATCAGAAATCAAAATGATGTTTTTCTTTTGTATAACATCTGGTAAATTTCTACTCTTCTAACTCTTCATACTAAATCAGTATTATACTATTTTCCCTAAAGTTTTCATGAATTGCAGGCACGTAGTAATTGAAGCCTTATAAAAAGTTAGCTATCATTTAATAATTTTTTTAAAAAAACAATTATAAAACTTACCTAACTTATTAGAACACCCAATTTAAAAATAATCAAATTCATTGTCTTTTTTTTACATTATAATTATTGTTGGTGTTGTTAAGTGCCGTCAAGTGGGTTCTGAGTCATAGTGACCCTGTATAGGGTTTCCAAGGAGCTGACCTTGTGGATCAAACTGACCTTGTGATCCAGTGTTTTATCCTGCAGCATGATGCCAGGACTCCTATTATAATCATAGATATGGAATAAAGGAGTTCTTCCCTTATTATATAGCCACAGGGATTGTTGACAGCACTTCTCATCTTCAGGAAAGACTATACAAGCTGTCTCCAGGTTATTAATGAGATCTGTTCCTGCCTGTGTTTTTAAAATATGTAGGTAAATTAGGGCAGGTACACATAACACTTATTTATCCTTACTTTAGTGAAAGAACAGGCTCAAAGTTTTAGAAATGATTTAAAAGCTGTGCACGCAGTAAGTGAAGATGATTGTGATGAAGAACTTGTTGCAAGTAGGAGTTAGTTTAATTGTTTCAAAGTGAGGACAAACTTACATAGCATTCAAGGGCAGGTGGAGTTGTCCTTAACACAAGGACTGCTTGTACTACAGATACAATTATTTATTATAATGAATTGAATCAATATGTTTGAAATTATAATGAGGAAATAAGAAGGGATCGGGGGAGTGTAATATCGTATAGCTACTGTATTGGAGTTTATTGTCATTTTAAAAGTTGTACATAGGAGTAGTCAGATTGTTTAATTCAGTAAATTTGAATATAGACAGGTTATTATGGTATTTGCCTAAATATTGCCTTTGTTTCTTTGCTTATTCACCATAGACTGGTATCCCATGCATGCTATCCACTTTTCAAGGACCAAAATGCCAGCAATAATAACTGTGCCATGGCAAGTAGATCTGATGGGCGGGGAAAACGGCATGCCATAAAGCCATGTCCTAACAACATCGAGAAATCTAACAGGATCTACCAATGTTCTCCTCCATACAGAGTCTCTTCTAATGTAAGTCTAAATGGAAAGAATTCATAATGTCTAAATTGCTCAAGATATGTAACTGCTGTTATTAAAACTATCTAAACATGATTTAAACTATTGTGTTCTAAAACTAAATGCTATGTTTTCAGGTGTTATTATTTGATATTCTTAATAAATTAATCTTAAAAACGACTTTGGGTAATATGTACACACACACACCCTTAACAGTCACAAATGAATGGATAAACAAAATGTGATATATTCTTGTACATAAAATGATATCTTACTTAACCTAAGAGGGGAAATGAAGTCCTGATATGTGCTAAGACATGGGTGAAAAGTGAAATTATTCTATTAAGAGAAATCAGTTCCAAGAGCACAAATGTTGTCTGATTCCACTTGCATGAAAAATCTTGAACAGGCAAGTGGATACAGTTATTATTGGTTACCAGATCTGGACAGGACTAAAGACAGATAAGGAGATTAACTGCTTAGGATACACTGAGCTTTTGTTACAGGTGATGGAAAAAGCTGGAAATGATAATGGTAGCACATGATGAATGTAATTAATGTCACTAAGTGATATATTAAGGAGCTCTGGTAGCGTAGTGGTTACGAATCGGGCTGCGAACCTTAAGGTCAGCGGTTCGAAACTACCAGATGCTCCGCGGGAGAAAGATGAGGCTTTCTACTCCTGTAAAGATTTACACCCTCGGAAACCCTGTACAGGGTCGCTATGAGTCGGACCCGACTCGACGGCACTTAACAACAACAACAACAAGTGATATATTATGTGATTAATGTTGAAGTGGCAAATGCTTTGGCACATATGTATTTACCACAATAAAAATTTAAAATTTTCATCAAATTTTTGGGTTGTAGCAAAGATGACCTTTTCATAATTTCATTTTATCAATTTTTGGCCTTTTTGTACAAATAATTGAAGTGAATCAAGTCATACAAGAAAGCAAACACCTTTAGATTTCAGTTTGCCATGTTAAAATTGGCAACTTTTACTCCACCATGGCAATTTCACCTTTGAACTATTTGAATCATAGTTGGATTTCAGTTATCTCCAGAATACAGCCCAGTATTCTTACCATGCGTACTCATCACTGATCTTTCAAGAGTTGATTCTGATTTACTTTTACAGAGTCGTGTTTTGTCAGTATCTGCCCGCTCACCAATTCCACCTTCATTATGATTCAATAATGGGACTACCATACTCTTTCACAGTGTATCTGATTAGCCATATGGTGATTCCTCTGACCCAAATTATCATTCCATTGATTTCTGTCTGGTGAAATTCACACAGGTATCCAGACCCAGATCAAAACCTTATTTTCATTGTGAAGTTTTTCTTCACTCATGGGAAAAATGAATTTTTCTTTCCTGTGTGCATCCATGGTACTCTGTGTTTGCTTCTGCAACAGTACATCTGTCATAACACAGTTGTTCCTGTTTATTGTTGTCTACCTCTTATCTGTCAGTTTATCATACTGTAGGACTTTGTGTAATGCCACTGTATTTTAAATTCCAAGAGGCTCATCATGGTGAATAGTTTTCAGAAGAGCTTTCAGACTAAGATAGACTAGGAAGAAGGAGAGGCAGATCACTTCTGAAGAGTTAGTCACTAAAAATCATATGAAAAGCAGCAGAACATTGATATAGAATCAAAGATGAGCCACTCAGGTTGGAAAGCACTCAAAATATCACTGGGGAAGAGCAGCCCCATCAAATTGTTGACCTTAATGATCTGAATAAAGCAAAGCTATTAGGACCTTCATTTGCTGACAGGGTACAACTCAAAATGAGAAGAAAAAGCTCAAACATTCACTAGTGATCAGAATGTGGACTGTAGGAAGTAGGAATCTAGAAAAATTATAAGTTGTCAAAATGAAATGGGATGCACAAAGATTGATATTCTAGGCATTAGTGAACTCTATCAGTATTGGTCATTCTGAATCGAACAATCATATGGCTTACTATGATGGAAACAACAGAATGAAGAGGAAGGGTGCCACATTCATTGTCAAAAAGAGCTTTTCAAGAACTATCTTGAAGTACAATGCTGTCAGTGATAGGCAGACATCCGTACAACACAGTAAGGAAGACTAGTTACTATCACTATTATTCAAATTTATGTATGAATCACTAAAGCCAGTGATTATGAATCTGAAGAATTCTACCAAATTCTTAAGTCTGAAATTGATCAAACATACAATCAAGATCATAACTACTGGTGATTGGAATGGAAAAATTGGAAACAAAGGGGAAGTTTCTGTGTTTGGAAAATAGTAATAGAAAACAGATTGCATGGTAAAATTTTGTAAGACCAATGACATATTCACTATAAATGCCTTTTTCCAACAACATAAACAGCAGCTATACATGTGGAGCACACACAGGGAGTACACAGGAATGAAACTGACTACATCTGTGGGAAGAGATGATGGAGAAGGTCAGTAACATCAGCCAAAGCAAGGGCAGTGGCTAACTGTGGAACAAACCATCAGGTGTTCATATGAAAGTTAGAAAAATCAAACTAAAAGAACTGAAGAAAAAATTCAAGCCTTGAGTTGCAATATTGGATACCATGTACAAAATATTTAATGATGCAAAAAGCATCCAAAGGAAGGAGGAATATACAGTCACTGTACCAAAAAGAATAGGTCAATGTTCAATCATTTCAAGAGGTACCATATGATCAACAACTGATAGTACTATAAGAAGAAGGTCAAGCTGCATTGAAGGCATTGGTGAAAAACAAGGCTCAGGAATTATTGGGATACAAATGGAAATGTTTCAACAAACTGATGCAGCACTGAAGATGCTCATTCATCCATGCCAAGAAATTTAGAAGACAGCAACCTGGCTAATTGATTAGAAAATATTCATATTTGTTCCCTTTCCAAAGAAAGGTAACCCAATGGAATGTGAAAATCACTGAACAATATCATTAATATCACATGAAAGGAAGATAACAAAAATAATTGCAGCAGTACATGGACAGAGTGCTGGCAGAAATTCAAACCAGATTCAGAAGAGGGCATGGTACAACGGATATCATTGCTGACATCAGATGGATCTTGAGTGAAAACAGAGTGTACCAGAAAGATGTTTACTTGTGTTTTATTGTCTATGCAAAGGGATTCCACTGTGTAGATCATAACAAACTATGGATAACATTTCAAAGAAAGGCCTTTCAGAACACTTAGTCATGCTTATAAGA